CTAGATCATCTTACAGTCAGGTTGCCCAGCAACAGGACATTGAGTCAGAGCCCTTGACCTTCTCACCCTGTAAACATCCTATACAAACATCCTGTTAGCTTGCCCCACCTTATGCACATGACAGCTTCTTGCTCCCCCCACCCTGCGGAACTATATAAACCTTTGTGGAAGGAAATAAAGTGGCACCTTGATCAGACTCTAGACTTGGTGTCTTTCCTTTGTATCTCCTGTTCCTACATTCCCTCCTTAGGGTGGTCGAGAACCCGTTGAAGCCCTGCAGGTGGGGCAAAAAGGTGCTCCTAATCGTCCTAATACAAAGATCCCCTGAAGCAATGCAAAGTCTGTTAGCATTGTATCCTCACTTCTAAGCAAAAAACCAAAGGCGACTGGCCAGGTCTCTGAGTTGGAGTGCATTTCGGAGATACTAGGGTTCCTGCAGTTGTAAACTTCCTGGAGCACAGAGCTGAGGCAGGAAGGTGCAGGACCCAGGGGAAGATTGCTAATGAACAAACAAAGCTAAAGCCAGGGGGAACGGCACAGTTGCCCACTTTCCTTCAAGTCCCAGGTTGATAGGTCCACAGTTAAAAAAAGAAATCTGAGAAAAAGATTTGCTATCAGAGTAAGGACCTTTCTGAGGAAACAGTAAAGCTGAACTGTGTCTGAAGCAGTTGTGCTGCTGAGTCAGAAGGCTGTCTGGGGAAAGAGCCCAGCCAGGGCAGAACAGAACTATCCTGGAGTAAAGCTTTCTTTTCTGTCAGAGAAAGCACCTCTTTGAGAAAAGCTTTGTTTCAACTGACTCCCTGTGAGATGAGGGAGTGTAGCCCTGAGGGGTGATTGCCTCTGGCATAAGCTCTGTCCTTGAGCACCCAGACAAGCAAATGCAACCCACTGGGGGACTGGGCCAGGTGAAGGCCTGATGAGGCAAAACGCCTGTCCCAATGGGAGTTTAGAAATGGCAAAAACCTCCCTCGTTAGATTTTCAGTCTGTATGCAAACCACACAGACCCCAAAAACAGAAACGGACAAAAAGCCCCTACCTTCAGTAGCAGGGAAAGCCGCCACTGTAGTGTCAGAAACTCTTCCTGGGGTAGAAGGAATAAATTGAGACCAAACTGGGAACTGTCTGGGAGAAAGACTCTGAAGAAACAGAAGGGACAGATTCCTCCCCAGAAAATATATGACCTGACAAAGCTGATAGAGTTTGAGGAAGATTGCAGGGGGCGGGGGGAGCCCCTAACTCCAAAGCCAGCTAGCAGAGGTACAGAGCCACAGACAGATAGCTGAAGCTCTGCATCTGGCAGGGAACAAACAAGAAAAATGAGATAGATCAGTGAGAGAAAATCTCTCTGAAAGAGCTATGGAAAAGCTGTTGTAAATGATCTTGTTTTTTCACTGACTGGCTAAAATGAACACAAGCCCTGAGGAAAGTTGCTATCAGAAATGCCAGCCTCAATGTGCGCTAATGAGGCAGGTGTGGTTCTGATCCGGGGCCAGTGTCAAATGAAGGAGAGACACCTGTTGAAGCCAGCTGAGGAGAGAATAGAAATCTCCCAATGTCCCATAGCTGAAAATGTAAAATGCTTGTTCAAATCTCCCGTTGCAAAAGCAAAGAACTTTGTTCAAACCTCCCGGGCAAGAATTTGTATGCAAGTCTGGTAAAAGAGAACCAGTTGACTCTCAGACTCAAAAAGAAATATGGGAAATGACAGAAGGGACTGATATTATTATGGACTGATATAAGGGAAATGCATTCTGGGAAAGGTAGTTTTTCCACTAAAGATGGCGACATTGCCCTGAAACACTTTTGTCAGCTCTAAAATTAAAATACAGCTTTTAAAAATAAGGAGGAAGCCGGGCGGTGATGGCGCACGCCTTTAATCCCATCACTCGGGAGGCAGAGCCAGGCGGATTGCTGTGAGTTCGAGGCCAGTCTGGGCTACCAAGTGAGCTCCAGGAAAGGTGCAAAGCTACGCAGAGAAACCCTGTCTAAAAAAAAAAAAAAAAAAAAAAAAAAAAAGGAGGAAAATCGTCTAAGAGTTTGGGTGTCAGTTCCAATGAAAAATTGAAAGAATACGGAACTAGGTGCTTCGTGGTTTGGGGGGGGGGTTGGTAAAATGCCTTATTTACCCTAATAGCTATGCAAAGTTTTTTACGGATGACAAAAAGCTACCTATAAGAGCAAACAAGCCACTTTTATATCCTTAAAACAAGGGAAAGCAGTTTATTGCGGCGCGCTCCTCGGCCAGCGAGGAAGAACGACCACCATGCGAGGATTCTTCTCAGAACACACTTTATTGGAGCGCCTCTTGATCAAGGGAGAGCGGGAGGTGAGGGGCCCCGAGAACTAAACTGCAGCTGCTTATAAAGGGAATCAGGCAAACGTGCCGTACTGGGATTGGGTCCCGCCAGAATGCTAGCACGGGGAGCCACGGGATAGGCTGAGGACATAAGGCCAATTACCATACTCATGCATCATAGCCAAATATGGAGTTGTTTACAGCTAGGCTACCAGGAAGCCAGCGCCATCTTAGAATGGCGGCTCCCTACAGTTTATACACTGAACGTTTTCTTAGATATGAAGAAACTTATGTTGAAATTGAAAAAGTTCTTTGCCTTTTGAACAAACTGCCTGCAATGAGTAATTCCTTTGCAAATCTAATAAGGAGACAAGGAAACAGGCATTCAAAAAAGAAATGAATGCTTTATAGATGGGAAACAAACCAGAAAATCTAGCTGTCTTACAAAAGAGTTGCTTTACCTGAAAGTTCCTTATAAGAAATCAATGCTAAATATCACCGCTGCTGATAACATCAGGAATTAAAGCTAATGAAGTGAAAATACTAAATCCTGAAACTCAAGTGAAATGGAAAGATCCCTGCTCGAGAATATGGAAGGGTCCTGATCCTGTGTTAATATGGGGTTGAGGACATGTTTGTGTTTTTTCACAAGAGGAGAATGAAGCCCGGTGGTTACCAGAGCATTTGGTAAGGAGCGTGGAACTAAGGAAGGTCAGCTCCAATGAGGTTCCTATAAAGGAACCAGAATGAAAGTGGTTCGTTTAGTATTTCTGAGGTTTTGTCACTGGCTAATGCAAACAGTGAGGAAACAAGAGTTCAGAGCTGTGCCACTTTTGGCTTTACTAGCTTCTTTAGAAAAATACTTTATATCACCTAATAACTGTGCAGTATTTGGCGAAGAGCTTTACAGCAGCTAAATATGGTAATTTCACCTTCAGTGTGAAGTGAAGTTTTTCAGTAGAACGAACCAAAAATACTGCTGTGATAGAAACGTTTGTCTGAATTGAAGCACTTGGGGGAGCTACTATGAATTTGGGTGAAGGGACAGCCACTAGTTAAAAACTGTCTACCGCTGACAGTGCATCTCTGCCGGTTCCAGAAAGGCTGAGAGAACTCGGCAACTTTCGGGTGTGGCTTTGTCCGGAGAATGTTACAGTCCCCTAGCAACAAGTATCACAACTCTATAATGACAACAATTACTAAATCGCAGTGCTTTATAACAAAGCTTACTATAAACTCTAAACTTTAGAAATGATGTATGTACTTCCTGTTTAGTTGAGAGACTCTAATAGAGATGGTGATAATAATTAAGAGTAAGAAGTAGAAAGACAAAAATAAGATATGTGAGTTTGTAAAAATTCTGTCTTGTTAGATCTGTGTTAAGAAATCTTTAGGTGTTTGCTAAGTTAGATATATGGTAATGGTAGCCTATATAAGTTTGTAAAATAGATCTATAGAGTTCCTTTAAGAATATAAGCTTGTGAGACACTGCAGCCACCACCAGGACAAGCAGCATGTAAAGACTCTGGTAAGCCACCAGCCACGTGGCAAGGTATAGTTTTATAAAAATGGGTTAATTTAAGATAAAAGAACAGTTAACAAGAAGCCTGTCACGGCCATACAGTTTATAAGTGATATAAGCATCTGAATGATTATTTTATAAGTGGATTGTGGGACTGTGGGGCTTGGGGACACTGGAGAGAAGCCCTCCATCAACAAATGGCGCCCAAAGGCTCGAGTTTCCACCTTAAACCTGAAAATATTTAATAACCAATTCTAAACAGAGCCAAAAACAGGTTCCTGCTTCTTGTGTCATATGGGCAGCTAGACGTTGCAAAACGCAGGTTTGAACACTGGTGGGTTCCTGGCTTGTGCATTTGACTGGCAGTATGGCGGAAATGAGGCGTCTGCCAGCGGCACATTAAGCTGTGTGGTAGATTTAGTCTTTACTAGTATTAAAAAAAAAAAAAAGAGGTTTCTGGGCTACACGCTGCTTTGATAAGAAGCATAGACCCACTATTTCTGAGACTTGATGACTCCCAGAGCTGGCGGAAAACGTACCACTGCCATGTTGG